AAGAATGACAAATTAGCCATGCACAAATATTCTCTGTCTGACATCCAAGTCATGTTCGCTCAGTTATGCGGTAAAGGCATAGGTTTTTTTCTCCTCTCAGGAGCTTAGCTCAAAACTCCAGGCAGTGTTCTTTGTGCCTAGTACATCATTTGAAACGGCCATCCAAAGGCAGATATGAACAGTAAGCAAGCACTTGCTTTTTTAGGATGTTTCTGCATCGTGTATGATGATTAGCCTGGCTAGCCAAGCCATGACCCTCTGACAGCTGTTGAGTGGCCTATAGGAAGCTGGTTGCAGGACAGTGGATAGGTGTCCACGTCACAGGAAATAACAATAGTTGCACCCTTGTTGGCCAATCTTGCCAGCGAGGACATGGAGTGACTAACATGGAGCATTAACTACCCTCTCACACACAGATGGTCTTAGCAAGTCTGTGCAGAGGCAGAGCATCCTGGAGAGTCTGGAGTTTGCACAATTGCTGCTCCTCCTGGGGCTGTCCTGGGGATAAGAGGGTATGTCAGTCTTCACTGGCTTCATGAGCATTAAATTCACTTTGAAAAGAAAAATATCCATAAGTAAGTTAAGTAATCAGAGAGACAAGGCGGGTGAGGTAATATCTTCTGTTGTACAACTTCTATTAATGAAAGGGACAAACCTTCAAACTCCACAAAGCTCTTCTGCAGGTCTGGAAAAATAGCAAGTTGAATTCTTATACTGGATTTTCACAATACACCTCTGGTTTATGAAGACTCATTAGAAGAAAAAGTAGTACTCCCTTCCAGACTGAATTTCCAGTATTTCAAGTTGAATAGTCTGCTTCTGGCTGGTGTTAGCTCTTTATAGCATGCATTTATATTTCATCTACTCTTAACTGTTGTCCCCTCATTTAACATTCAGTGCATTTTATTAAAGCACTATGATTTATAAGAAAATCTTACATTTTAAATGATATTTCTATTGAAACTTCTTGTTGTCTTAGGTTAATAAGTGGTGGATGGAGTTTTGGTTTGTTTCTCAAACTTTTCCTCATCTGTAGGGTAAGAGCTCCATCTGCTGGTATGAAGGGAGCATTACATGTTTTAAACCAATTTAATCCCAGTTATTAAATATGCATTTTAGTACCTTGTAGTAGGGATTTGAAGAATGAGTGCACTAATTTTACCCCTTTGGTTCTGTTTGTGTGTGTTTGCAGTGGTAACAAAAGAAGAAGCTCTTTTAAAAGAGAGAGCAAAGCTTTTAAACTTTTGCAGTTTTCTTCAAGGTTGAGGTCTTAGCAGGGTTGCCAACTTTCTACTCACACAAAACCGAACACCCTTGCCCTGCCCGCTACCCTGACCCGCCTCTGCCCCACCCCTTCTCCAAGGCCCCGCCCTTGCTCACTCCATCCCTCTCCTCCCCTCCCCCCCCGTCACTTGCTCTCCCCACCCTCACTCGGTCATTTTCACTGGGCCGGCTCAGGGAGCAGGCGTATGGGAGGGGAGTGAGGTCTCCAGCTGGGTTGCAAGCTCTAGGGTGGGGTCAGAAATGAGGAGTCCAGAGTGTGGGAGTGGGCTTCAGGCTGAGGCAGTGGGTTGGGATGCGACAGGGGGTGAGGGCTCTGCGGAGGGGCCAGGGATGAGGGGTTTGGGGTGTAGAAGGGAGCTCTGAGTTGGGGGTTGGGGCACGGAGCGGGTGAGGGCTCTGGCTGCAGGCTCAGGGCTGGGGATGAGGCGTTTGGGGACACCTGGTCACCCTAGGTCTTAGTATTTCTGTGGCAGGTTAGTGTGTACTTTATCTGCCAGAGTTAAAGCATTAGGGCCCAGATCTACAAAGGGACTTAGGTTTAGGCACCACTGCAATCACAGGTGTCCTGTAGTTGGCAAAACTCATTTGGTGCCTAAATTTTCACTGTAAAAAGGCCCCAAGGCACCTAAGTTTCTGTCTGTAGGCATGTGCACTGCTGCCTCAGGCAGCCACCCAGACCCCCATCTGAACCATAGCATGATCCTGAAACCAGGAGAAGACAATGCCTGTATCACCTGCAGGACCCAATCTGGTAGGCATGCTCCGATCACATCTAATTCTGCAGAAAACAGCTGGAGGGAGAAAGGAAGCTACCTTTATTGTCTTCACCCTAGTTCTTAGGGAACTCATCCAGGATGTGAGAGAACCCACTTCAGTTCCCCCCTCTGCCTGATGAGAAGGGATTTGAACTGGCTTCTCCTACCTCTCAAGTGAGTGCCCTAACCACTGAGCTAGGGGATAGTCTGATGTTGTCCCTCCCCATTGAAGCCATTCCACTTGGTGTATAAATAACTAAAATATACATTGGGCCAGCGACAGTGAGAATGATGGGGTAGTCACCGGGCAGAGTGGGGAAATGAACCTGCCTCTGGGCTGAGTTCCCTGACCACTGGGCTAGAGGTTATAAGGGAGGCTGCCTCCTCCCTCCAGTCGTTCTGTTTGCTGTTAGGTACGTGCTGCTGCTGTTCTGCCAAGAAACCACTTAAGGCACCTGACTGTAGATGAGGATTCCTGGCTGTGGATCCCAAGCAAGACAGGTTCCTAACTCCATGGGAGTGGCCGGGTGTAGGACTCAGACCTCTTGTCATCATCTCCTATTGGCTAGTTTAGGCAGTTCCCTGCCCAGTGAGCTGGCTTTTGTGGATCCCATTGTCAGGCAGCCTTGTTTCCCACTCATTGTATAGGGAGCTAAAGGGCCTCACTCAGGGTTTGTGGATTCCACTGGGACTGTGTCTACACAGGAATAACAAACCCACAGCTGGCCAGAGTCAGCTGACTTGGGCTCGCAGCACTTAGGCTCCAGGGCTGAAAAATCACTCTGTTGATGTTGGGGCTTGGGTTGGAGCCCAATCTCCAGGATCCTACAAGGGTAGAGGGTCTTTTATCCCTGTGTTCAGGTAGCCAAAGTGACTAGGCACCTAAAAGTTAGGTGCAATGATTTGGATTTGGGCTCTGGTCTTTCTGTGGATATTTGTTGTGTACAGAGAGAGAATTTTTCTACATTATCCCATCAGTTTTCTGAGGTTTATAAACTTCATTTTATAGAAACCAAAGAAATTGAAACCTCCTACTTCTAACTTTTAACGTGGGGAGCAGTTCTGGATGTCTGTACAGTATCTGAACCTCAGGAAAACTTCTCATGCGGCCGTTCAATTCATTCCTTCAAAATAAAAACGCAGCAGAGTGGAGATATCCTTTTCAAGGCATACTAAAAATAAAGGGCTAGAGAGAAGAATGTTTGAGGAAGACAAACCTTAGGGATTTTATCTCTGGACCTCTAACAGTGGGCTCAGCATGCTCCCGCTCTTCTAAAGCTGCCTCGGTATTGCTTATTCTTGGACCACAGCAAGCTTAAAAGGACACTGTTCAACACGTTTTTCATAATATATGGGAGAAAAAAATCTTACTGTCAAAACTGAATCTTGCAAGTTGGATCTCTTTCCAGACAGAGCATTTCCCCGTCCATCACACTTACACACTAGTTTGTTCTTGCTGTTGCATACTTTCTCATGAGTTGGTTGAAAAAGGAACATTAAGCCATTTCTTTTCAATCACCTATAAAGACTAACAAGGAAATTGCAAATGGACATTGGCCAAAAAAATTGGTAATGCTAGTTAATATTATGGACTGGCCAGGTTTGCCAAGGTCCCATTTGAGCTAATGGTTGCAGCACAGCACTGTAGTAGTGGGTTGGAGGTGAGTGTTCTGCAGGGATGCTCTCAGGAGCATCTTGATCTGGTTCTGCACCAAATTATAGATGGAGGGTTCCCCTTCCCATAATGCTGATCATCCCCTTCTCCCGTATCTGGATGCTGGTTAGCCATCTCTTCCAGAAATGGTGTATCCCTGAGGCTCACAAAAATATGTTAAAAGTACAATTTCTTTAAACGTTTGGAGTACCCCAAATTGCAGGTATTTTAATGGTTCAGGCTGACCCTGTGGATCACCCTCACAAGCTCTTCACCCCACCTTCCTTTCCTATGACACCAGCAGAATGACTGTAATGTTCGGGCTCCCCCATGGGATCAGCCTCACACAAGAGGCAGTACACGTTTCAGGAGCAAACTGTCAGTGCAGTCAGTAAAAATTCCTGGAGGAAGCTTGTGGCTATACACATCAGCGAGATGGTTGAAACAAAAAAAACTTACCTAACAAAAGAACCTGCTGGTGCTTATAAAAGATTCTTCCAGTGCAGGAGTTACCATGTGACAGTGTTGCAGAATTACAGGTCACGGTCACAACACGGGGCAGTGAAAACAGAAAGGAGAGAGCCAGGTTAATAAAACTGGCTATCCCTGGTTGTGAAACCCTGCAGATGCTCAAGGAAGGAATAGGAATGTAATATCGCTGCTAACATGCTGTAACATAAACTGTGAACTTTTCTAAACAAGTCATAATACAGTCATAATCATTTGATTATTTAATATGATCTTTGGTACATTTTTGTATTCCATCCCATTAGCTAATATTTTCATCTCTATATAAATTCACTTCTTTTGCTACTTTGGTTTTATCATCCGCTGTAGCTGCATTAAGGTAGTGTGTAGAAGCCCCAGTTGAGCTTAGGGCTTCATTGTGCTAGGTACTGCACAAATATACAATGGGTAGGTTTGTGCTGTAATCACAGGGTGTGATTAAGACATACGCCGTGAGAGACAGTCTAAAGACTGTCTAAAAACAGACTGGAAGAGCTTACAGTCTAAATAGACAAAGAAGATGAAGGGTGGGAGGGGAAACAGAGGTACTGGGTGACAAAGTGACTTGCTCAAGGACACACAACAGGTCAGTGGCACAACCCAAAATAGAATCCTGCCTCAATCCAGAGTCCACTGGATCACAAAACATTTTAAATCATTTAGTTAGGGGCATGAATTTGGTTCAGTATAATTTAATCTGTCTGACTAGGGCTTTAAAATAATGCACCGTATAATTTCCTGTTTAATGAGAGTCTTTCACTTGTTTCCATAATTAATAATTCCCCTTCCACCTCTTTTAGGTGTCTCTTAGCCATGAGTGCACTCGTGCCATAATGAAGCTGGTGTACTGTCCGTATTGCCGGGGCATTTCTAGTGTGAAACCGTGCAACAACTACTGCCACAACGTCATGAAGGGCTGCCTAGCCAATCAAGCAGACCTGGACACAGAATGGAGGAACCTGATTGGTAAGGAGAGCTAGTTATGTACCAGTAAAACTGTTGAGTTTATGACATGTTCCCCCCGCACACCCCAAAGCTCATATTCAGTCTTTGTGAGACAGGGATTGGAGAATGAATAAAGTGCCAGTAGAACAGTTAAAAGGGCTTAAGACCCTTTTACGCTAAAATTCCTCTGCCTCAGCGCTGGACTGTAAAAGGACTGGAAAGACATTTTACTGTGTTTGAGTAATGGGCTCAGTCAAATCACTACACAGAATGTGCTACACTGGCTAACAAGACCCGTGATCCTGTCAAGAGACCGATACTCTTTCCAATTAAACCAATTAAAACAACTCAATTAATTCTTGTGCCTTTCCCATCTCTTGAGGCTTAGGGCCAGGTTCTATCACCCTTCTTCTGGCTGAGTGGTACCGTCCTCCACGAGTACAAGGGTAAACTAAATTAAACTGGAAAGCACTTTTAGATCCTTCTGTGGAAGGTGCTGTAGAAATGAAAAGTAATAAAATTGTTTCCATGGGATACTCAGAATTGAGGACTTTCAACCCTGACAATGCTCCTTCAAAACAAAAAGGGTGGGATGGAGTTTGGAGGAATGAGACGCATATATAAAGGAAAATAAAGCTCATTTGCTTTATATTTAAACACAAATGCCATGGTGGAGGGGGCAGGGTCAAGTTCAGCAGCCAAGCAAAACAATCAACACTAGGAGAAAACTAGAATGAAATCAGTCAAGGAATGTAGCCTGAACAATTATTACATTTATAAGATTACATATTGGGGTGCAATATGCACTTGTCACAGATAACAGGTTCTTTTCCTAGGTGGCTATTTAAAGTTAATTGACAAGACTGAAGCACTTAGAGGAGGGGAAAGTGATCAGGAACAGTCAGCATGGATTCACCAAGGACAAGTCATGCCTGACTAATCTAATTGCCTTCTATGACGAGATAACTGGCTCTGTGGATGAGGGGGAAGCAGTGGACGTGTTGTTCCTTGACTTTAGCAAAGCTTTTGACACGGTCTCCCACAGTATTCTTGCCAGCAAGTTAAAGAAGTATGAGCTGGATGAATGGACTATAAGGTGGATAGAAAGCTGGCTAGATTGTCGGGCTCAACGGGTAGTGATCAGTGGCTCCATGTCTAGTTGGCAGCCGGTAACAAGTGGAGTGCCCCAAGGGTCGGTCCTCGGGCCGGTTTTGTTCAATATCTTCATTAGTGATCTGGAGGATGGAGTGGATTGCACCTTCAGCAAGTTTGCAGATGACACTGAACGGGGAGGAGAGGTAGATACGCTGGAGGGTAGGGATAGGATACAGAAGGCCCTAGACAAATTAGAGGATTGGGCCAAAAGAAATCTGATGAGGTTCAACAAGGACAAGTGCAGAGTCTTGCACTTAGGACGGAAGAATCCCAGGCACCGCTGCAGACTAGGGACCGAATGGTTCGGCAGCCATTCTGCAGAAAAGGACCTAGGGGTTACAGTGGACAAGAAGCTGGATATGAGTCAACAGTGTGCCCTTGTTGCCAAGAAGGCCAATGGCATTTTGGGCTGTATAAGTAGGGGCATTGCCAGCAGATCGAGGGACGTGATCGTTCCCCTCTATTCGACATTGGTGAGGCCTCATCTGGAGTACTGTGTCCAGTTTTGGGCCCCACACTATAAGAAGGATGTGGAAAAATTGGAAAACATCCAGCGAAGGGCAACAAAAATGATTAGGGGACTGGAACACATGACATATGAGGAGAGGCTGAGGGAACTGGGATTGTTTAGTCTGCAGAAGAGAAGAATGAGGGGGGATTTGATAGGTGCTTCCAACTATCTGAAAGGGAGTTCTAAAGAGGATGGATCTAGTTTGTTCTCAGTGGTAGCAGATGACAGAACGAGGAGTAATGGTCTCAAATTGCAGTGGGGGAGGGTTAGATTAGATATTAGGAAAAACTTTTTCACTAGGAGGTTGGTGAAACACTGGAATGCATTACCTAGGGAGGTGGTGGAATCTCCTTCCTTAGAAGTTTTTAAGGTCAGGCTTGAGAAAGCCCTGGCTGGGATGATTTAGTTGGGGATTGGTCCTGCTTTGAGCAGGGGGTTGGACTAGAAGACCTCATGAGGTCCCTTCCAACCCTGATATTCTATGATTCTAAGACATAATTTGGTGAAACACGCACAGACAAACTTTATTTAGTACAGACAACTATAATTGGAATCATGGGAAAGGATCAATATGTACAACTATATAACTAAGATAAGTGCAGTTAAGTGGTTTCGTATATTGTTTATACTTACAATCTTGTATTGTGTATGTTTACAACTTATGGAGACCTCTGGAAACAAAGACAGAAGGGTAAGTAAGGTGTAACCCATCAGAAGGGAGGTTCTGATTCCATTTACACCATCTCGGGGAGCTGATAAACCCACAGAAATAGGACCTGGGTGTGGTATTTTATACCCTTCCTTATGGTGGTAATACAGATATATACCACTTTTGCTTCTTTATCCTGATTATAATAATGTCATTAACAGGCCCTATCCATGCCTTTAGGATGTCCATAATTAAACATCAAGCATTAATATTCATGATGTACATCACTTATTTCTTAATCATTTCTATATGTAAATGCAATCTAACTGCTTAATACTTCATAGCAACATAATTGGCAAAGCCCTGTAAAGCTCCCTTCTTGTGGAATCCTGTGGTGTACTGTACCTGTTTGTGGAGTTACTCATTTGTCTCTTAGAAGGAGAGTGCAAAATATCTGACCTGGGGTTATTTCTTGAGGCATACACTCTTCAGCTAAATCCCAGCCTTTAATAAGTACTCCCTTATGCTCATACAAAAGGCCTGTAATCATAACAAACCTAATAACTCGGTTATTTATTCTCCTTCTTGCTGTAAACTCGCTGTTAACTTGCATTAAAAAGACTTAGCAAAGGAATTATATGGTAGCCAAAACTATAAACCCTTGACGATCAGGTCATGGGTCAGCAGTCAACAGGAAGATCCTGCATCTTTCACTTTGTGGCGGTGACAAGCCTTGTTGCAATGAAGTGGACTGTATGTCTACCTAAGGGTATGATTCACAGATTTTAAGGCCAGAAAGAGCCATTATGATCAAGACTGACCTCCTGCATAATGCATAATAATAAAGAACCTCAGCCAGTGATTCCTGCCTCTGGCCCATACCTGCTGGCTGAGCCAGAGCATCTCTTTTGGAAAGCTATTCAATGTATATAATTAAGCTGGATTTTCAGAAAGCCTGTGATAAAAAGCTACTGCTTTAAATGTGAACTACAAGGATTCAGGGAAGTGACAGGGCGGGGGACACAGAATCTGTGTATTGCTTGCCACTGGAAGTAATGGAGCTCTGTGGGAAGTCAGAGGACCCCTTGCTGTTCCTAATTGACTTTCACAAATAAGCCCAAGGACAGCATCTGCAGATAAACTAACTGATTACATGTAAGTGGGGCTGAGCGGTGAATGAGCACGGTGCAAGCAGCAAGTACATCTAGGAGATTTTTATTTTCAGCATAACTGGTTTAACACCAGGGAAATGAAACGTAATGGAGATAAACATAAGGTAATAGGCAATGTGACTATAATAATGAACACTCACAAATTGGGATTCAGGCTTTTTTTAATTTTTTTTTTTTTTTTGCCTTAACAGCCTATTAGCTGAAAGTTATTTTTAAAAAATACATGTTCATTTCATTTCAAGGATGTTTTAGTTCTGCTATCCGCCAGTTGTAAGGCTCCAATACAGCTATAAATGGAATGATCTTGTGTCCTTGGTTGTGTCACCTCCACCATAGGTTATTGCACTGCACTCGTCATGGGGCTTAGCTACACCTAAAAGCTAGTCACCAACATCTCCTTGTTCAGAATGCTGCAGGCTGCTTAGCTAATGATGATCCTTGCAGGGCAGGCATTAGCCCTGTGCTCTCTAGTCAGTGCTGGCTGCCATGTTATTTGGAGGGGTCCAAGCCAAGGTTTTGTTTTTGACCAGAAAGCCAAACCTACCCTGGTTTGGGTCCTGGCTATGCGAGAGTTTGTCCTCTCGTTATGTGGCCCCGTGGTAACAGAACACAGCTGAAGCACTCAAATGAGAAGCCCCTTGGTTTAAAAGGAAAGGAGCTGGCAACAGGACTGAAGGGGTCATGGCCTGTGGAAGTAATTTCTCTAGAGCCCTTGTTTGTTGCCTTCTGGGCATAGGGCAAGGCATAGGGGCCTACTTTTGAAAAACTGGCTTCCAGCCACACAACTCCTCTTGCTCTCAGGGCACTTTCTCCTAACTGCCTCATAACTCTGCTTCTCTAAAAGGCAAGATTTGCACTCCTGGGCCTCGTGCTGCCAGTACATCATGCTGAAAACCCTTAGCACTCAAAAATTTTTAACTCGCTGAGGTACTCATAGGCCAGCCCAAGGGTCAAAAATCCACCTAGTGCAGCAACCTTCCGAGGCCCCTGACTTTTTCAGCCAGTTCCTTTCGAAAGCAGGAAGCAAGTGCTTTCCTAACTTCTAAGAACACAGAGAGGATAAATTTAAAAATCCCTTTCTTTTTCTTCAACACCATGCAGTAGGACCAGTCATTCCAGAGAAGGGCAAGGCAATGGGTATCAGTGGCCAGACAGTGTCACCAGAGGACACTCAATGCGGGATATCCCCTTGGAGAACAGAGGTGCATCCATGCCAGAGCACACTGCATAGTCTGACAGAGCCTCCAGAGTCATCTGCTCTAGCCATTAGCCCATCCCCTTTCCTTGGAGCAAGATCTAGAAAGGGAGAACTTGGTTCCCTTGGTTAGAACAAAGCAGCGCCTTTCCAAGTATGGTTCAGTGACTCCATTTCCTATTAATAAGTCTTCACAGACTGAGCCCTGTGACAGTTTGAGGCTCTTGTCTGAGCTCAAACACATGAGCCAGCGGTTCAGGTAAGGTTTACAGCCCTCCTTTCCCCAATCGTGTAGTCTTGCCACTAGACCACACTGCCTCCCTTGTGTGGTTCTGACTA